TCTCTGTGATTGTGAATTGCGGTTCAGTTCTCGTGTTTTTAGACTGTTAGACAAAAGTGCTCACGTGCAGCTCCGGAATATGGAAACAGAGCAAAAGAACAACCCTAGTACCTTTTTTTAGAAATAGTACAATAAATTATTTTTGAGGATTGTACAGTATATAGTGATGTGCTAGAACTTTTTAGGCTGATTTTAGTGCTCCTATTATTAACGATTCCCCAGAACATTGAAAGAACCATTGTTTACAGAGCTGAGCATTGGTGACAAGGTCTGACAGGGTCTGTCTACTAAAAAATATGGTGGCAATATTAGGTAACTTTTTTTCCTATAAAGTTTTTGTAGGTTCTTGTTGTAACTAATTTAGAATGAGTTTCTATGTTGTATATTAAAGTTACATTATGTGTAACAGATTGTTTTTCTCAGCACAAAATAAAAAGCATCTGTATTAATGTAAAGCTATTAAGAATAAAACCATCAAGGTTTTCCAGCATGGTGGATAATGATTTGTTCTTTTTGAATCACTTCAGATAACTTGAATATGTTGACTTCAGACCATTTCTACTTTTAATGTTGGAAAAAACTATCTAATTGTGATTTTCTTCACAGCTATACATACTTTAAAAAAAATTCTTGCCCAAAGATATGTTTATTGATTTTAAAGAGAGAGGGAAGGAAAGGGGGAGATAGAAAAAAAGAGAGAGAAGCATCAATGTGAGAGAGAAACATCAATCTGTTGCCTCCCATATGGGCCCCAATGTGGAGTCAAATCTGTGACCTTTTGGTGTTCAGGACAACGATCCAGCCAACAGGGCCACCCGGGCAGGGCTATACATACTTTGGACACAAACTGTTATCCTAGAGAGCTGTGAGCAGATCTGGACTTCTTCATGATCACAATGATTAGAAATTGACTGATGACACCGAAAATGTCAGGCCATTTCAGTGGCCAGATGACAATATACATATTGGTTTCTTTAAGCTATATCTGTCCAGCAGCCCAGAATTTGCCCAGACAGGGCTCTGAGGCAGGAATAAGGAGTTCCTACGTTCTGAATGCCAGAGAAAGTTCAATGGCTCTTATTTCTAAAAACAAGCTTAATTAGTAGGAAGATGACTGTGAAAGCATCCTGTCATTTTATCAAAAAAATCACTCTCACCATTCATAGCTGAGTAGGGCAATAAAAATGCAGGCTATATTATTTCCAATGTTTTTCCAAAGTCACAGAAACAATGCTTAGGCACACAGGCTTGTCACTAAACTTTAATATTTTACTAAGCTAAAGAGCAAACAGGGAAAATGTGGATAACCTAAAACTGGCCTGTTCTTATCAATACTGTACTGTTTCTCCATGTAAGCCTTTGAGACACAAATCATTTATTAATGAAGAAAAATTTACTAGAATCTACCTACCTGTCAGGTTTTGTGCCAGGTGCCATAGATAGAAAGAATACATTAGCTTCCCATAGCTGAGTAACAACTTACCACAAACTGAGTGGCTTAAAAAACACACGGAAGTTTATTCTCTCGTAATACTGGTAGCCAGAAGTCCAAAATCAAAGTATTGGCAGGGCCCCATCCTCTCACAAGCTCTAGAGGAGGATCTGTTCCATGCCTCTGCTAGCTTCTGGTGGTTGCCAGCTTCCTTGGCTTGTAGCCACAACACTCCAAACGATGCCTCCATCTTCACATTGCCTTCTGCATCTGTCTTCTCTGTTTGCCTCTAATAAGGACACCTGTCACTCGATATAGAGCCCACCTGGATCATCCAGGATGATCACATCTCAAGATCCTCATTATATCTGCAGAGGCCTTTTTTTTTAAATGAAGTAACATTCCCACGTTCTGGGGATAGCATGTTGACTTATCTTTTTTTTGGGGGGGGCCACTCTTCAGCCCATGAAAAAGATAAAAATAAGATGTAGTTCCTGCCTTTAAGAAGCATAAAGACTATGAAGTATTCTAATGAGGGAACTATGAGTGAGGAAGACAGTGAGAGGAAGGAAGAGGAGAATCAAGGATATGAGGGACTCACAGGCTAAATAACCAGGGCCTAGTGAATGAGAACATGCTGATATTATTTTCCAAACATCCAGAAATAATGAGCAGGTGCACAGGGAGCCAAGAGGACTGGCCATGAAGGAAATAAAGTGAGTCAGATATTAGAAATTTGCTTTTTCCTTTTGCATGCATTTGAATCAGCAACTAATCAATCTATCCAAAACTCATGAGATGCTCGAAGACAACAGTGTTCACCTGGCCCTGAATTTTCATGTTCATATAAGAACCTGATTTTCAGGAGTGACTAGGGAAACTGGGTAACAGATCCAACAGAACTAGATGGCAGAAGAGATTTCTGCTGTCACTGAAACTGGCAGGAGTGCTGGACCAGTGTGCTCAGAATGAGCATCTGCTCAAGATAAAGGCTGAGGCATGGCTGATAGAAGAGAAAATAAAGTTAGTCCACTGATGGAATGTGACAGTTTGAGGAAGGCAATATCAGATGGGTTGTTCAGAGACACAGCTGATGCCTAAAACAATCAAATTGATCATGGATCTTTTTAAACAAGACAATTAGGCTGTGGGTGAATCTTGAGAAAACTGTGTTTGATAGCTGGGTTTTGATCTATGACCACTATACTTGTATTTCATTGAAAATGCATTCACTGACAGTTCTCGTCATTTTCCCCTTCCCTGCCACAAGCCTTGTTTCCAATTTCTGAGTGCACCATCTAACATGTGACCCCTAGAAATAATGTTTTAAAAAATATTCAGAGTACATACGGAAAATAGATGCTTTAAAATCTCTTTTACATAAGCCATTTCAAACAAATATGTTTGGGATTGATTTTTTTTTTTTTTTGCTCCACTAACATTTCATACTTCTAGAATATAAAACTGGTCCACCTTTGCAAAAACTTCCTGAATTTAAGGAACTCAAGCAGAATGATACATAACACTCATTTAAAAACATATCAGAACCTAGCAATATGGTAGATTATCCTTGGTTTTCTAAGTGTTTACATTTTCTGAAATGCTCTGTGTCCTCTCTAGTTTAAATATCAATAGATTCTCTTGCCTGCTCAGGGTTGTGGTAAAAATAGAAAGGTTCCATTTCAAGCTGACCACACAGAGGACAGATTAAGAGAATGGCTACTAAAAAAAGGAGGTAATTCAGGCAGTGGCCCTTGGCAGGCTTCAACTGCACACTTTCTCTCGGGTAGCCCCCTTTCCTCACTCATCTGTCACGATAGCTTTGGGTCTCAGAGCTCATCAGCAAAGGGCTGTAAGCATGGAGCAGCCAAGAAAAGTGAGGCACCAAGAGACGGAACACCAGCGCGGATTATAACCATCACAGCTCGAACCACGAAGGCCTGAGCCCATGAATAAGGCAATTATCACTGCTGATCTCAGACAGAAAATTTAGATTTACACAATGCCCACTTGTTTAACTCATTTATTTAACCTAAGCAATGGTAATCAGAAACCAGCCATCTGAGATTAAGGAAATCTCACCCCCCTCCAAACCAAATTTACCAATATCCACAAGCTACTTTAGACAAAGCCCTTCCTCCAAAAATTATTAATGAGAAAAAAAAAATACAGCAAATTAAAAGCCTTACTGGGGCATTTTGTTCAAGGAAACTGGAGATCTCTTTCTTGACCCACCAATCCTTAAATGAATCCTAAATGTCTTTTGCAGCTCAGTGAGCCTTAAAACAAGATTAGGTAAATGTGTGTGGATGGAGGTGAGCCCTGCCCGAACGCACGCAAAGGCCCTCTCAAGTGCTGGGGCTCAAGAATCTACCCCGAAGCTACTTTGTGTGTCAATATCCCCTACACTTCCATGTTATTTCTAAATCCATTTACCTTACTTGGCAATAGGTGCCATAGAAACCAAATGAGAAAAGGCTTTTTAAATTAATCTTGCTAGTTTACTTTGAACCAGGCGACTTGCTTTAGTTTTGTCAGTTGCTAACCAATAACAATAACCAAGTCCAAGAACTATAAAAGGAACTCAGCATCTGAGGATCTGGCTTTGTCTTTAACTATTGATTAAATCATCCAAGGGAGGGTGATAAGTTATTTTCTTCTTGCACACCTCTAAAAACTTGAGGAACCTTTAAGGTGGTAAGCTCCTAAAGTACGAGGGGCCTGTGTGCAGATTCTTCTGGACAGTTTTGCCTATGGATCGCAGTGATCTAAACAGGGGGCCAACGAACCAGAGCCTGCAGGTCAAATCCTGAGCTAAGAATGCGGCTCTCCATGTTTAAATAGTTGGTGGGAAAAAAATCAAAAGAAGAATGATATTTCATGACAAGTAACATTTAAACAAAACTCAGATTTTAGTGCACATAAATAGCTTTATTGAAATGCAGCCACACCCGTTGGTTTGTATATTGTCGCTGGCTGCTTTCATGCTATAATGGCCATAAGGAGTTGCAAAAAAGACCACACATCTCCTGTAAAACTGAAAATATTTACTATCTGACCCCTAACAAAAAAAGTGTGCTGGCTTCTGATCTAGACAATTGCAATAGTAATATCAATTGACTTCCAATTATTCATCCCCATAATAAAGTTTATTTCCTTAATTTATGATCCTAAAAGAACACATCTGAAAAATGTTAAACAAAAACAAATAAAAATCCAGCAAACCGTAATACCTGGCCAGTTACTGTGAACTCCATTTTAACATCCAAAGAGTGAGTCAGTTGTTGAGACTTTTTTATTGTTTTAAGTTTATTCCCAATGGGACTTTTTCATTAGGACCACGTTAATTGATAATTTGGAACTCTAGACCTGAGAAAATATTCTAGACTACTATACAATAAATGTGATCATATTTTATGTCCTCTGAAGATCTACTCAACATATCTTTTATGTAAAAAGATAAATGTAAGCAACTCACTGATTTTAAACTTGCCAATGAAGTCATCTTCCCACCCTAACTCCCAGGAAATTTACTTTCATGAGGAAGAGAAAAATAATCTGCACATTAGCCTCCCATTAGGAATAACCATGAACCACAAGAAGTAGTTTATTGATATAGGTCAATGGACAGTTGAGCATATTGATCTTGAAAACCATTGTCAATCATGATCCACCACCTGGAAACCTGGAGATCCCAGGTGGTAAATGACTGGACCCAAGCAATTCTTCCATTAACCATTTAACCCACCTTTTCTCCTTGGGAAGAAAATAATGACAAAAGTCTACACAAAAATACTATGAAACATTTTTAATCCTGGAAAGAACTTGATTACCAGTAACCAAAGAGAGGAAAAGTCAACAAGAATAAAATTCGGTCTTTTAAATCAAGTGAACACATATCAAATTGCTCAACATTGTTAAATGGCATGATATGATTTATCCATAGAAGTCATGGTCTCATCCAGTGAAAAACTGATTTAAATATATTTTGACAGAGTGCTAAGAGATATTATAGGTGACAGTTGACTGACTTAATAAAGTTATTTAAGGCTTCAAAACTGTGCCTTTTAGAAAAATAACGAATAACTTATTCTACCACTTGGAGAGGGGAAAGAAACAACAAAGGTCAAGTAAAAGTCATAGAAACATGATTAATTTGTTTATGCCTTTTCAGTATTCCATTGAACTTTGCAAAGACAAGACTTAAAATTAAAGTGAGTTTTATAGCCAGGATTGGTCTGAATATTTTCCTCCTAATATTCTTTCTGTCATACCTCTTTAGTGCTCAGAATAAAATGACAACCACTGGGATCCAAAGGAAAAAGGTAGCTCCATTCCAAATATGGGACTGAGCTGACAAAAATCTACTTAATATCTAAAATTAGAAATAAATAAATTCTTCAATATCAACTACATTTTCAGAGAGTTCATTAAAATTTAAGGCATTTTGACATGTCAGAAATTTTAGTCCAGTGACAGGAGAAGAAAAGAAGCTACCTGGGAGCAAATCCCAATTATCCCTATGGCTTGGGACATGCACGTTGAGCACAGCCAAAGTTCAAGAGAGAGTGACAGGTGACTGTGCAGAAACTTCCTGACTCTGTTCAGTTGTACAACTTCACCAGGGTTCTTCTATTTAAAAGGGAGCATTTCAAATGTATTTTCACTCTTCTGTTTAAATTTTGAAAGGCTCATCAGCACTGTTAGCAAGATAAAAATGAGCAATGCCAAAATAACTTCTTCTTTATAATAAAATTTTAAAAATTAAACATGAAAAAGGTTTGGACTTAGTGATGCCCTCCCTGAATATCACAAACAACAACAGAATAATGGCAATATGCTCATGAATCCAACAGCACAGATATACACAAGATAAGCATTCATTCAACAATAACCATCCAGAGTTTCACCCACCAGCCAGATAAATACAATTATTTATTTTGCTCCAAGTTTCCACAAAAATAAAGACATAACCTGCTAAATTGAAAGTTACAAGTCATACCTCATCTAAAGATACAGGGCAAAACATTTCAACAAACCCTGCGCATGTGCCCTGCTTCTCTTAGCCAACCACGGGCCTTTTTAAATATGTTGAATAAGGTCTATAAAGATTACTACTAATTGGAAACAAACCAGAGCACCTTAGATCATCACTGGCCAGGAAACTCCCCTCTTTCTTAGTTCTAAAACAATCAGGGTTTACACAAGGTTGTTCAAATCCAACTTCATTTGAACTTCTTTTAACAAATAATATTTAAGACATGCTAATACTAGTAATTTGCCTGTCACAGGAAAGATCAAATTATCTGGATCACTTTTGAATAAGAACAGCAACACTTATTTCATAACTGCTTATGGTACAACCACATTCTTCTTATGAGTACAATTATAATCAATTTTCCAAAATTGAATTCCTGCCTTATTTACTCAAAAAAGAAAAAACTTCCATGGAAGCCATAATCCTCTAAGTCTTGTAGCAGAACAATAACCATGTAACCTTTGACGCTTGACATAGGGCAAATATCCTGCTGCCTTTTTCTGGAGACCACAGAATTATTCTGATAGGTTTGTACAGCTATCTGTACTTGTATACAAGTCACCCCACTTTATTCCTCATGATTTTGCAAGGTCATTTGATAAAGAAGCTCTCCCACTCATTTTAAATCATGCTTCAAGCATTACATAAACTGTTTTAAACCATTTGACTTCTATGATAGTGTCACTTGATTGTATTCATGGAAAGTCAAGGTTTCTCCTTCCATTTTTATTTTTTAAGATTCCTTCAACACTTCTAGTCAAGCTCATCTTACCAATTCCAACAAGAATGGAATTTCAAAGGCAATAGTAAGTTTAGATAACTCAAGCACATGCTGATCCTTCCTAAAAATTACTGCTTATTTAGGCTTCTGAAACCAAGATACCCTACGGAAAAATGAAAAGCTTATTGTCTTTTTTGTTCATCATTTTTAATTTTTAAAAAAAGATATTTTAAGGTCTTGTTAAGAAAATAAGTAACGGGAAAAAATAACTATACCTTTAAAAAGCTTTCAAATCTTCCCCAAAAATATAAACAAAAGAATGACAAAAATGGGGTCACAATGCATATGCTAACATCTGCCCTCCAAAGCACATTTTTTGTGTAGAATTATAAAGAATGAAAGTTACCCATTGATTATATGGCATGCATCAACAGTGCACTGGTGGGCTTAACCTTGGTTTTCAGTTATGTGTGTATATACAGATAAATCTCTTCCTGAGTTGAGCTTCATCTTCAGTTGAGACCCAAACCATTTGCTTTCCTATTTTTGGCAAGATACTTGACCATGGGATAAGGCAATCAAACATTTCAATCTCCTTTCCTTTTCAGCAACATGGCCCTCCTCTGTAACATCACCAACGTGCCAGGTACAAGGACGGGCTCTAAACTATGGTCCTGTAAAACTAGAAAGCGGGTTTCTTTGTTCATTAGTCTGAAGGCTACAGCACAGTCTTTTCATATATTTGGAGATCTTGAGGATTTCAGCTGAACAGATTCAAAATGGTCTTCTTTTTCCTATAAAGGAAAAATATTAAAACAAAATCAACTCACTAAAATTCCAGTAAGATTTTAGGATCTTACATGTCCAGAAGGAAAGTCCTGGCATTTAATTTTAATTTATGTACCTGCCACTTGTGATTAAGATTTTACATTTAAGTAAGGGTGTCAGATATAAAACAGAGAGCCGGCCTGCCCCAAAGGATGCTTCTGATATCCAAAAGACAGACAATCCAAAATAGAAGTAAACACATGATTGCAATAGATACCAAAAGATGTAGCTGTGACATCTGACCTGAGTGCTGATATAGACAACCTTGCCATGCAAATTGTGGACAAAATAGAACTGACAGAAACTAAATATTCTCAAAATAACATAGGCTAACTAATAAGAAAGAGGACAGTAGAAAATAAACAAGGCAAATTTCAATAATATATAAGATCATTTGTATTAGAAAAATCTTTTGGGTATATATATGTCAAAGATGTTAGAAACAAGTCATCTTAGTTAATAAATCAAAATTTGACTCAGATATATCCCTACTGGTGTGTGTTATATGATACATTCAAAATGTAGCCTGTTATACTGCCATTTGTGACAACATGGATAGATCTTGAGAACATGACGCTAAGTGAAATTAGTCAGGTGGAAAAAATCAAGAACCATGATTTTACTCATATGTGGGATACAAAACTGAAAGCAACAAATGAACAAACAAGACAAACAAAAACTCATAGACACAGAAAACAGCATGGTGGTTACCAGAGAAAAGGAGGCTGGGGGTTAGTAAAGGGTAAAGGGAGTCAAATAAATGGTGACAGAAGGAGAATTGGCTTTGGGTAGTGAATACACAATGCAATATACAGAAGATATATTACAGAATTATACACTTGAAACCTATATAATTTTATGAACCAATGTCACCCCAATAAACTTAATAGAAAATAATTTTAAAATGTAGCCTATTAAAATAAAATATTCTTTAATGGCAAAAAAAATAAGAGGTGCGATTTCTCCCAATGTTTTTACTGTTTACTCTCAATGTTTTTACTCTCTGAAGGCTGCTGGAATGGGACGGGGGTAGGAAGGGGAGGACTATGCTATCAAAAGAAATAAAGACGAAGAGAACTCAATTTACTTTGAAAACAAAGGAGATAGGAGGCAGACCAGCCCTAAGTGCCACTGGATGTGTTCTAAAGTAGAGAAGTAAAATGAGAAAACAACAGGAAGCTGACATTGAGTATCTGTCAGGAAAAATAAGGTTGCTTTTGTGTTTTTTCTCATTTGAGTTGAGAAGCCCAAGACTTCAGTCAAGCTTTAAGGCTACCGAGACAGGATTATAGGAAAAAAAAAAATCACAGTGTGAACACCAACATATTGCTTTTCCCAGCCTTTGCTGCGATGACAATTCCCTGGGAATGCAGACTGCAAACCTCAGCACTCCAGCTCGCTGGGTCTGTGAGAGCTTGCCTGAAGTCTCATGTTTACCAGACTTAACATTTTTGGAATAATCATTGATAATTCAAATATTTATTAAGCACCTGCTGTGTTTTACAGGAACGAGGCTAGACTTTAGGGATACAAAATGTCTGCCCTCAAGGAGCTCCAAGTACATTACAGGAAAGAGCTTTAGGGTATCGCTATGAACTAGAAACGAAATCAGATTTTGTGGCCTTTCCTTGGGAGGATTTAATTCATATGTTCCCAGGGGAGGGTAGGTAAGACCTGTTGATTATCCACAAGGCAATATTTAAAGTAAACCATTGAAAACTCTTTATAAAATCTTATTAGCTTCATAGGGCTTTAATTGCCATATCTTGTGTTTACAGGGGATTTTGCTTGTCACTGAAATGGTGAGATATATGTGTGTGTAGTTAGCAGTACTAATTCACTGGGTCTTCCTGATGGCAGGAATTGTATCTTGTTTATTTTTAATTCCTAAAACATGATCCAAGGCCTAGCGCATGGTTGGCTATCAATGAATGGTTATGAAAATGTATGAAACATCACTTGTAGAAGGAAAAACATTGGTTTGGAACTTGGAAGATGTGATTTCGAATTCCTATCTAACTCTCTTGGATAAATAAGTGAACCTCTCTACGTCTCAGTTTATTCATGGATTAAATAAAGAAGCCATACAAAATGTATTTTTAAGTGCTAAATTCAAGAATCTACTCAAGATTCAACTTTTCCAGTAGCTCCCCTTTACATTTTGACTACACACCTTACTGTACTCCCTTCTCCCCTGGGTTCCAAGAGACCCTACTGAATGTTCTTGCTATACTGGAACATCGTGTGTGTGTGTGTGTGTGTATGATGTGCATGTGTTCTCCACCATAAACTAGATCATCTCTGAGATAAGAAACTGTGTCTAATTTGACATATTACCAAGACCTAGTGAAGCATCTCACAAAATGTCCCATAAATGACTGTGACATAAACAAATAAAAGGAAAAATTTTTTAAATTTTAATTGCAAAGAAAAGTCAAGAAAAGCAGATCTATAAATAAAACCCCACAAGTCCAATACATTGGTAGGAAAACACCAACTTAGGCATAGCCTTTAGACATGAGTAAGGATACATAAGATAAAGCAAAATTTATATGACACAGAAGTTAGAACAATTAGAAATATTTTTGCTCCAAAACCATGCATAGCAAAAGTTTTTAAATGGGACACCCAATAAGACTTGTGCAATGATATTCATAACATATTTATTCATAGCTAAACACTGGAAATAGCATAAGTATCCATCAACAAGAGAACAGATAAACAAATTTTGGCATAGCCATAAAACAGAATTCTACTCCAGAATAGATAGGAATCTACTACAGATTAACACAAGGTGGATGAATCTCAGAAACATTTTTCTGAGTGAAGGAAAACTTACACAAAATATGACATTGTGTAATTACAATTATTTCCAGTATAAAACAGGTAAAACTAATCTATAGTTTTAAAAGAACATTACAGTAGCTTCCTTGGGGGGATGAGAATGGGGACTGATTGCATGCAAAGGTCATGAGATTATTTTCAATGGTGAAACTAATGTTCTATATCTTAATAGGATTGGGGATTACACAGGTATACGCATTTCTCAAAATTCATCAAGTCACATATTTGTGATGTGTGCATTGCACTCTATGTAAACATTTTACCTTAAAAATAAAGTTGTTTAATTCTTTCATCAATTATATGTATCCTGAAGTGCTTAGGGGTAAAATGTATTAAAGTCTGCAACTTACTGTGAAATGCATTAAAAAAACTTGTATTCAAAAGTAGATAGAGGAATGGTGATATTAGAAATATATGATAAAGCAAATACAGTAAAACTTAGGTAGTAGGTAGGCTATACTACTGTATAATTTTTAATATTTTCCACAATATTTAAATTTTTATTAAAATGATTTTAAATTATTATATTGACTGAAATTGCTATTCGAAACAAAACATTGTACAATATACTGACCCTTCTGAAAGAGAAAAACTCTATCCTGCATCTTATTTCCTATGACTGTTTCTAAGAGCCCTTTCAAGTTTTTCAATTCTCTAGCTATAAAATAACAACAGAAAAGGTACTGCCGTAGGAGGAAACACTTAAAAGTTTATGTAGTACTTAATCCACACTCTCCCCTGAATAGTTGCCACTTATTCTTTCAGATTCAGTTTAGAAGTCCCTTTCTCTTAAAAATCTTCCCTGGCACCTAAATGCCTCTTTCATTATAAGATAACACCCTTGCAAATTGGAAAGCATGAGATCAAATTAGGTGAGAAGTCTACGTGACCTGACGATGGGAGGTAATTCTTACCAAGTCTTCTGCTTCTGCATGTGTTGTGAGGAAGACAGTGGTTGTCCTTTTTCTAGATAATCATCTCAAAGATATTTATAGTAACAAAAACTCTTGGATGGTACAGATAATGTCTTCTACCAGAACAAAGGAAAAGTCTGCTTACAGTCCTGAAAGCTAGAGAGAGTGTCTCCCGCTGTGAAGCAAATGGCAGACATGCATACTGCCTCGTATAAAAGATTCAGGTTCCCCAAGCTAAGGGCCCCTCTTCTAACCTGTAACCCACCTTGTGTACAAGAACCAAAGCAAACAAAGCCATTTGGCTATGGCTGTTTTTCTGAGTAATAACTGTATTTTGTCTCTGAGGACTCAGGAGACTCACACCTTCAAACGTGTCCATGAAACTATGGTAAGTTAATCTGTTGGCTAGTAAGTAAAATGAAATTTTGTAACTTCCACAGTTCTTCACTGTTTTGCTGATGAGGATGGGAAATTGACAGAGAGGTGTCTTTCTGGAAGAGGAAGGATGACAGCCCCCCACACTGGTTACCAGTATTTGAGGGAAGCCCGTGAGAATTGGTAGCAAACATCTTGACCAAAATGTGTGGTAAACAAGGCAAGAAAATGGTCCTCTACTTCATTGCTTGGACATGAAGAGGAACTGGAAAGAGGTTGTAGACCGAGTACTGAAAAGTGGGTTGAAAAAGTTCACAGTTCAGCTGCCTAAATTGTGACCTGGATGTTGTTAATTCTTCTTGGGCCAGAGGGCTTCCTCACCAGTTAGGCAATCAGCTTCAGGTGTGCCCCAGGGTAACCACTAATACTAACATCCTGATACTAACATCCACTCCTTTAACAATAGTTACAGAGACATGCACCTACAATGAGCATTAAAACAAAAATGAAGTCCACTTATGGGTAGAAGCTAGGTGGATGTTTAGAATTTTGTCTGGTTCCCTTTGGAGGTGATTGTGGCCAGGACTCATAAGTAAGAATGGCAACAGCTAGGCGATGTTAAGGCTCAACACCTCTTGCAACCTATCGTGCCAACTTTGGATCCATTCAAAGATGACAGTGAAAGGCCTCAAAAAGAATGAAAAATAAAATAAAAACCCTCAGAGATTTTTATAGTGGGTCCTGACTGCATAAGCTGAGATTTGGCTTTCTATGGGGAATTTCGCTGAGACTAATTCCCACAGGAAAACTTAGTGTGGCAATGAAGAGTGTTT